ACTCTGAGATAAGTCTGCAACAGTTTGCCCTTTAATGGTCGCGACCTGGGCTTGTACTTCAGGTCAAACTGGCTTAATTCCTGGCCTATTTGACAGTTTACCTGAGGCTTCTAGTTTCTGGGGACCTGCCTAGGGGTATTAGTCATTCATGGATCGTATGGGCGTGAAGTAAGGTCGCAGCTTTTTGGAGGCGATCGCGCAAGCAAGGCTAGTCGCTCCATTTCCGGATACCGCATCTCGGCATCCGACAGACCTTGCTTGCATAGTACACTGCCACTGCGCCTTTTCCTCTTCCCTTACTAGAGCTGCACTGACCGCGAACTGAGAGACGGACAGGTAATGAGCAGGATTTCCTATGGAAGAGGCTTAGAGAGGAGAGATGGCTTCCCTAGGTGTTCTTTATACTCTGGAACCCTATTCGCATTCGGGAGTCCATTCGAATTTCTTATTGGCCTTTAGAACATTGAAAAATGGCAAGCACGGTCGGTTAGCCTTGATATGAAGCGACTAAGTGCCGCTATTCGCCATTTAACTCTGACCTGTTTCTTGCTAGTCGGGCTCTCCATATCGAGCAGAGCGTGGATCTTCTCGGGGTTTTTCTATGCCCCGCTGATTAACCATATACCCCAGGAACTTCCTGACGATACCCCAACGAACACTTGAGAGGGTTCACTTCATTCGGTACAGTCGGAGCATGTCAAACTCTCAGCGAGATTGCATGTGTTCTGAGGCGACCTAGGATTTGACCAGCATGTCATCCATATAGACCTCCATTGTCTTTTCGATCTGGTCGGAGAACATTCGGTTAACCAACCTCTGATAGGTCCACGCCCGCATTCTTGAGGCCGAAGGGCATAACTTTGTAACAGTATACCCCCGGTCCGTAATGAAGAACGTATGCTCCTCGTCTGGCCCATCATCGGATTTGATTGTACCCGAGTATGCATCCTGAAGCTTAGTAGCTCGTGCCCTGAGGTGGCATCAACGAGCTGGTCGATTCTCAGCAGAGGAAGCTTTCTTTCGGGCAGCCTTGTTGAGGTCGCTGAAGTCAACGTAGGTCCGCCACTTGCCGTTTGGCTTCTTACCAAACCGGGTTGGCAACCTAGGTCGGGTAGAGTGCCTCTCGGATGGACCCATTTCGGAGGAGGTTTTTCACTTCTTTTTAGTGCAACGTACCTCCTGAATCCATTGCTCTTATTTTCTGGCGAACCGGTTTTGGCCTCACTATTGACTTTAATGCATGGAAATAATGTCCGGCGTTATCCCGACCATGTCTGCATGCACCAGGCAAACACGTCAATGTTTCCCTTAAGAAGCTTATCAGTTCGGAAGCCAGCTGAGGGTTGAGACAGCTTCCAATCCTTAACACTCGGCTCGGCTCTTTTGGATCAACCGAAATTTCGGACAGATCCTCAACCGGGCCGCTAGGAGGGATTTCCTAGACTTGCGGATCTATGTTATCCTCCGCTGGGCCAGGCTGTGGCTTGATCCAGTTGATCGCCATAGCTTGGCGAGCACACATCTCGAAATGCCCTTTCCCTTGCCTGCCATCTACACTGCTTTTACGTAATTCGCGAGATGCGCTTTGCGACCACTCACTTCCCCTATCTCCGTGGGAGTGGGGAACTTCATCTTGAGGTGATATTGGAAGTGACTGCCTTGAAGCTTCTCAACAGAGGTCGCCCCAAGATTCCATTAAGGCCGATGGGCAATCCACAACCAAAAATTCGGTAACCCTAGTCACCTCCTGGATCGTCCTTTGGGATCGGTATTCCCCTGTAAAACCATAAAGAGGTATCGAGGCGGGCTTCAGGTCGGCCTCGTCTAGGTTCATTCTATCGAAGCGGTCTTGAACAGGATGTTCATAGCTCTTTGTTGTCCACAAGCATTCTGCAGACATTATGGCACCCTATCGGGCGGTGATCACCAGGCGTCCTCGTGAGGATGGTGCAAGCGAGTTGCTTCCTTTTCGCAGAAGGTGATCGACTCCTCCTTTCGAGCCTTTGCGGTCGCTGCGAAGTGTTCATTACCCTGATCGGACGTGATATGCTTCACAAGCGTACCTTTCCTGCGCACCTCGCGTGTTTCCCGCGAGGTGCGGGCCTCCAAAGATTATGTTAACACCTACTGTACCGCTTGATCACGACGCTTTTTCTTTTGCTCCCCTTGGCTCTCTTTTGGAGAGTCATCATATACTCCTTGAAGTGCCCTTTTTTGATGAGCTCTTCGATTGCCTGCTTTAGGGCTCAGCATTCATCAGTGTGATGCCCGTATCCCGATGGAAACGTCAGTATTTTTGTTGTTTCTGGCCGTACAGGGGTTTTCATGGTTTCCGGCTCACCAACAGTTGGCCTCCTCGGATTTGTCAAGGATTGAGATATGGACATGTTCAACGGTGGTATGAGCTCTGTCCCGGTCGCGACGAGAACAGGAGCATAGGACTTTTTGTGTTCGTAGCGGGGTTTCTTCCCTTTTCGCTGATCATCAATGTCTCCTTTGCGATCAGCTCTCCTATTTTCCTCCCCACCAGACATACTGCTTGAAGTGCCGTGATCGTGACGGCAGAGTGCCGCCAATAATTCTCTATTCGGGATATTTTCTGCGAGATTGTAAAATCTGGTGAGGGAAACATCGTCATCAGCCTGCATTTCTTTTCACAGGTCAGTTTGCGGGCGAACTCCAACTATTATAATGTTCGATGGACTCTTCAGGGCATGAGCCACCTTGTTGAGTTCCCTGTGGAAACGGTCGATGTAAGATTGCAGGGATTCGTCTCTTTCTTGCCTTATGTTGCTGAGGTCGTCAAAGGCATCGAAAACTTCTGATTTGCTTGGAAATGCCTGAACGTCGTGCTCCATCTGAGGCCACGAACTGATCGATCTCCTAGAGCGACCTTAACCACCGCTGGCATGAGAGTCAGCGTCACGACCAAACAACGACATTTTACAAGGTCTGAAACCTGGTGGAGCTCCATCAGTCGTTGAACTCATACAAATGATCCTGCGGGTCATGGTTCCCATCAAATGGTCGCATGTCGGGCATTCTAAACCCCGGTGGGAGTGAGGCAGCTACATTTCGGGAAGAAGGGATGCGGGAGACCTGGGCCTGTTCGTTTTGCTGCTCCCTTAACCTGTCCGAGCTCGCTGTAGCTCCTCAATTTGTGGTAACGGAGCCAATTGGGGGTTGCTTTCACGCATACGAGTCCGGCCTCGCGATTACGGTTCAGGAAAGTTCGGAGTCGGACTCCTCTTCGCCTCGGCTGGCATTTCCCCGCACTCGACACACGCTGACTAGAGCGTGTGAGGCGATGGATGCACGGGGCATTTTCACGACCCTCACGGTGGTACGAACCGCCCCGCAAGGTGTGGGGACCACCCGCATGATGCGATCGGGATCGTTCTGCTGGCGATGACAGGAATCGTCGCCCCGACACTTTTGCTTGGGTTCCCCTGCACGTGGCATGGGACAGCTCGGGATTCATTTTTTCGTCGGTCTCAGCTTTGTCGGCACCCTGCTCGGGGAAAGGTTTGTGTTCACTGGTCCTTGGGAGCCCGTAGGCTTACTTTTTGCCACTTGCTTACCCTTACGTCTACGCGCTGCAGTGCTCGCGGCATGGGCTATTTCCCTTTGCCGCGCTTTCGCGCGACGTGCAGCGTTTTTGGCGGTTGCACCGCCCCAGCTGTTGTAGATGAATCCTTGGTCCAAACGGTCCAGCCTCTGGTTGACCGTCTGAAGTATTGTTGAACCTCTCCAGTAGCGTCTGATGGCGGGGTCAACGCTGCGAAGCTGCCGGGATATCCATCGCACCATTTTGTGAAACTGGAAGTATCCTGGAAGGATATCCCCCTGGTTAGGGGAACTCCCTCGACGCGCTGGTTGGCTTGGTCAGGTTTAGATTGGCGGGCCATTTGTTGTTGTAGGACCAGTAGTTAAGATTCTCCTGATGAAGGATAACACTAAATCAGGCCCTCCTTCTAGCGCCAAACTGTTGATGCGTGATTCTAACACCAACTAATCGACATGTGCGCACGTTGATTGGTCAAGAGACACACGTGATTATGGACAGAAAATGTGAAATAATGTGATAGAGCTTTTTAAGTGGTTCGGATGCTAAGGTAGCAAGTCTTACTTCCACTGATTTGTATTAGTATATGGGTCAGGTCCGCCAGCGGATTGATTTACAAATGTTTGGAAAGTAAATACAAAGTTTGCAAGAGAGAGAGAGAGTTCAAGTGTAAAATGGCCGAATCCCCTTAATGAAGGGGTCTTCCTCTTTTTATAACGAGATGAATGCATGTAATCATCATTAAATCCATGGGTTGGTGTGAATGTTAGGACATAATCCGGCTTTACGTCCCATTGCCCACTTTCCAAGCTGATTTCACGCGATTTGGAGCAGGGAAATGGACACGTGGGAGCTCCATAGCGTTTGGCAGACCTGACGTGCGCTTACCGTTCTGACGGGAGCAGGTCACACTTCATCACGAACTCCCCACGTCAGCCCTTGATTTCCCAGGCATAACAAATATAGAATTGTCTTGATTTATAAAAGGATTAAAAAAAAAGAAAAAGAAATCAATGCATCAATACGATTATTATTATTTTTTTTTTGGTATTTACTTATCTTATCATACACCCTCACGACAACCTTAAAGTTGGTATATATGTACATATCATATATACATGGATTTATAATATTATTAATGTGATATTACATACTATGGTGTCGTACCTCTAATTTTTTTTAAATATTATATAATTTATTAAAGGTCCCATAAATGATCTCCATTGTCTTTCTTAATAAAAGTCTTGGTCTCTAAGTCAAGAGAGAGACACCATATCCAACCCTAATTCAAAAAAATAAAAGACAAATTTTTATTTTTATTTTTAAATAAAAAAGTAATAATAAAGTAGCTTGAACTTGCTTTTCAATCTTTATCTCATATTGGGAAATATTACTTCTGGTCACTAAAAGTGAAGTCTCCAAAGCTCAACCACTTCCATCTTTAATTTCCTTTCTTCTCGATTCACTCTCACTCACCCTTTTCTCACAGCAGAAATGGCCATGGCTTCAAAAATCTTAACTCGAATTCTCTCAACTTTCCTCTTCATTCTTCTCAATTTTCTTCCTTTCACCATGCAGGATGAGCCCTGCCCCTATCCATGCTACCCTCCGCCCACCGGCGGCTCCGGCTCCACCACCCCCACCACCGTCTCCACGCCACCGCCTCCGGCCACTCTCCCGCCGCCCTCTACGTCAACCTCTTACCCTCCTCCTCAAGTGTACAACTATCCTACACCACCTGGGAATTTACCTAATTACCCTTCACCACCTTTTGGCAACAATAATGGAAACCCTCCGCCTGACCCTATTTTGCCCTACTTTCCTTATTACTACAGAAAGCCTCCGCATCAAACGGACGATGGATCATCGGCGGCTGCGAGTCTTGGAAGATCATCATCACCACTCAACTTTTTTTCGTTTTTGTTTTTGTTTTTGTTTTTGTTGCTGCCGCTTGTTTAAGATAGTGAAAGTAGTTATTGTTATGTAATTTATATGTTTTTATGTAGGAATTTTGATGTGTCGCCATTAAAGAGAGCTTGGTTTGCAATTTAGTTGCAGAAAATTTGAAGGGTTTTGTATAAATTTGTTTAATGGTGAAGAAGAAGAAGAAGGTTCAAGGATGATTCATGGTGGCCCAAAGCTAAGCCAAAAAGACTTTGACTCTTTAGTTTGTTTGGTAATGTAGTTTGAGATTATGATTATAATTTGTATTTAATATTTATTTTTATTTATATTATTATTTTTGTTTTTATTAAGATAAATGTAACCACTTTGAATTGATTGCATCACTTTTTTGGATTAACATGAATGGAGGTTAAACTATGAGCTCACAAGAGAACCTTCATGATTCGAAATTTCCAAAGGGTTTCTTTTTTTCTCCCCATAAATTTTTTTATTTTTTATTCTTTATTTTTAAAGGTAATTTGAAAAAATAAAATAAAATAGGTTGAAATTAAGGTAGTTCCAGTACCATAATTAAACCAGTTAAATTTACATTTAAGAGTTGGTGGGAAAATATCTTGTCAAATAAAGGATTTGGCTCCTTCATGAAAGAGGTAGAATTTTTTTTTTTTTTTTCTAATTTAGTGACATGTTTTATTTGCCTCATAAAAAGACTTACCAACCAAAGAATTAAAATAAAAAAATAATACAAAAAAATTATTCAATTGCTCAGCACAAGGGCATGGAAATGTTTTTTACATGAAACTTGTTACTTTTATAGTTGTATTAAGGGCGAACCAAAAGAGTTGCAAATAGTACAATTCATAGTCTTAGGTTTGATTCTCCTGTTGGTACAAAGATAATATATTTGCTTATGATTTATTTCAGAGGCCAAGATGGTGAGTTACTATGAAATAACTCATCTTGAGAATTAGGCGAAGTGTACATAAACTAGCCTGACATATGAATTATTAAAAAAATGTTCTTCAAGTATAACTTTTCTATATTATGTATCATTTTCAAGAAATAATTCTTGAGCTTTCAAATGGTAAATTTTTTTTATTTTTAGAGTATTCATAAGGAAGGACATCTGTTACCAAAACATTTAGCTTTAAAATGGATAATAATTAATAATTCAATTCACGATAATAATTAATAATTCAGGTCACTTTTGAGCACATTTTCAGGTTAAAGATTCATTAAAATTTGTGTAATTGACTTCAAACTTATATAAACAAACAAAAAGTTAATCTTCATATTATTACCCAATTGATGTCTGCCATTTGAAGGACAAATTATCAACTCAGAATCAATTAAATTATCTAATTTATACTAATCATAAACTTAATCCAAGACTAACAATAGACAGTCAATACTACAAGTTCCCATGAACCTTTAGTTTTTGGAAATTGTAATTTATCCCCTTATGGTTTCAGATATAGCTCACAACCCCCTACCACTCTTAGACCAGGGCTAAAACAATAATTCTACAAGCATTCTAATAACATATTTTAAGACAAATTAAAGTGATATATGTTATTACATAAAGAGTGACTCAATAAATTACAACTTCTATTGATGAATAATGTTTCATATATTTGGTGGGAAGGAGAAATTTCAATCACAAATGCCACCCTTATTCTCTATTCAGCTACATGTTACATTACATTTTGCATACATAAAATACCTGAAAGAAACAAAGTTACAAGCATGAAATGCAACCCTCAAATGATTTTTCATCAATGTGATGCTCAAACAAACATGCAATATATTGAATCTCACCGGAAAAGCTTTGCACTTGCGATTACTTTTGTTTCATAATCATTGGATTTCCCTGACATTGTGATGGTAACTTTCGCTCGAAGTAGAATGCGAATGTGTGAAGCGTAGGCTTGCGTTGCTCAAGAAGCTACTCCAACTGCTAGACTACCTATTCCAGAACTGCTGCCGAGGCCAATGCCTTTCATACTCTTCCTCATCATCTCATTGCTATTTCTTCGAGCTCCCACTTTTGGTTTCACCTCGCTTCTGTCGTCTTTTGTTGCCTTACTGGTCTCTGATACTCGATATTTCTGCAAACTTGGACTCCTCTCTTTCTCTCGCAGTTTCCTCTCTGTGTTGCCGTTTTTCATTCTGGCTTCATGATGAATGCTGCTGTGGCTTCTGGGTGCTGAAGAGACCTCAGAGAGATCAGTTGTAGAGGACTTGGATACTTCAGAGGATTCAGGTTTATCAGCAGTGTTTACAGACTCAGTCATGGTGAGGCCTCTGTCTTTTCTGGCCTTTGAAAGCATTGGTGATCTTGCAGTACTTTTGGTTCCTGGACTTGTTGACTTATGTCGTATTGTAGCTGGTGTCTAAAATAAAATAAACATAGGGCTTTAATATGAACAAGTTAAAAACAAAAGAGAAATCTTATTGCACAGATCATTATGAAAATATGAACGTTCATGCGACTAAGAGCACGCTAATGTTTTAATCATGTCCTGTGGAATACACAGCATAGTGGTATAACTTCAAGCCAAATTCAATCATGAGCACCAGTGCCCATGTACCCATTTAAGTGACTTCATGAAAATGCTGGAGTGAAGTGAACTTCCCCAGTGAGATAGAATCGAGTTCCTGATTATTTGTCCTGGAAATAATTCAGTATAACTAAGCAAGAAACATGAATAGTGTACCTTGTTTCCATCAGATCCCGCGATGCAGTGGCTTGATAGAAAGAAGGCATTGGTGTAGCTTTAAAATTAAGGGTTTTCGGAATTGTCTAATCTCAGCCTGTCTCTTTTCCTGAAATAACAATAATTCAGCCACACCGATTTTAAAATAATTTTTTTTAAACAAAAAAGAAAACCCTCTTTTGCTTAAGACCATTAAATTTCATCATCTGAAATATACAGAACCAATTCATCTGAAATAATTTATTTATTTAATTCGCTAAAGTAAATCCTAATCATTGAATGATCCAAATACCTGTGTTTTTGCTTGCATCTGATTCATTTCAGCCTCCTTAGCATGCATTTTTTCCTCCAACTTCATGTAGAACTGAAATTGCTAAATTACAAGACACTTAAAATTAAATCTACAAATGAAAATTAAATCTACAAAAAGTCTGATTTGCAATAAAATCAGCCTTGCTTGCCTCTTTCCTTCTTTCTGCCCGTTCATCACTTTTGAAACTGAAAGCTGCAGAACTTGGCCTCATTACCAGCTTACTTGAATCGGCAGCAGTCTGCTTAAGCCTGCATAGCAGTTAACCCACATCAGAATTTTGACAGTTAATACATTGACATTATAAGAAATATAGCAGTTATGTTGATAACAGACCTATTTGGCGTTTGGTGACCTCTAGGATCAATCTTCTTCGATGCAGAAGGTTGGGATTCAGCTACTTTCTTGGCTCTCATCTGATCTTTTTCACTGCTAAGACAAAAAAGAAAAGAATCCAATAAGTCTCCTTTGCGGAACATACGGGTTTGCTATCTGCATAAAAACACTGATTACCTCTTATTCTCAACCTTTGATTTTGTAGCTGAACTTTCAGAGTCCTTTGCCACAAAAAAAAAAAAGAAAAAGAAAAAGAAAAAGAAAAAAAAGAACGAAGATATTACCAAATTATATATTTGAATAGCAATTAACTGCAAATTTGAAGGAAAGGAAAAAAATAACAAAAAGGCAGTGTCTCATGTAGGACACTGCCTTGTGTTGTGATGTGTTAGGATTTTAACAATTTTGTTTCTAACATTATCTAGAAATATGATATTTTGTGCCATATTCCAAAAGCCAACCTGTGTCTTTGGAGATCTCTGTGATGAACGTCTAACGGGAGTGGATGTTTGTAATGACTGCTTTTCCGCTTTCATTCTCCCTGGACACTCTTTTTCGATTCTGCTCTGGCTCTTTGCAGCAGTTTTTGAAGTCTTGAGAGAAATCGGTTTTTGGACATGGCTCTGAGAGTTCAGTTGAGGCTTAATAGACTTATTTTCCACAGCAATCCTCAACTGTAAGCAGGAAAACAAGTGAACATAGAGAAACATACCATAAGACGATTATATTTTGGATAGTGTAATTTATTGTCTAGAAACTGGCTTTTAACATATTTCTTTATGCGGAAGCTACAAACATGCATCATGATCAAAGAGTACTCATGAGTAAATAGAAACCCATACCTTTGGAGAAAGATTTTTCCTATTTTCCAAACTAGATTTACCAACTCTCCTAGAGGTTGCACTCTTGGGGGATAAGCTGATGGCTTCAGAAGATTCATTTACATCAACTGCATCATTATTGCAGTTCTTTTGTAGTTCTATCTCTGCTTCATCATTACTTGGAAGTGACTTGTCACAGACAATTCCAGTATGACATGTTTCCACAGTGTTAACATCTTCAGGGGCAGTGTTGACCAAACCATCAGCATTGGCCAAAGCAGCTTTCATTGGAGATTCAGCTGGCAAAACTGAAGGATCTTCTCTTTCACATTCCATTACATCAAGCTCTCCATGATATTCTGAACGTTCAGGGCTCTCATCAAAGTGAGTGAATTTGCTAGTTTCATTTCCAAAATAATATTGGCTCCTTTCATTTCCATCATCAAATTCCTGTCTCCAATATGCAGTCTCGGAGACATTCTCATCAAAGTGATAGTTGTGGCTCTCTTCATTTCCATTAAGATCTTCTGCGTAGTGCACATCCACATTCTCAAAGGCAATCCCGTCAAATTGATCACAACGACTACCTTCAGTTACATTTTCATATCCATCTCTACAACCCTCATTCTCAAAGACATCATTTTCACCAGTTTCGTCTTCATTGGCATTTTGGCACTCGGATGAACCCTGAAGCAGAAGAGCCTTCCGCTTGAAGTGAGCTTCAAAATAAGCTTTCTTTTCAATGACTGAACCCGGTTTAGAGCATTTCTCAACCTCTTCAAGATACCTATTGTGTGAAAAAGAAGATCTCCTTTCCCAAGATAAGGGTTCGTTTTCAAATCTTCCAAACGATATAGAACCAGAGTGCAAGGAATCTGTCTGCCCAGTTCATAGGGAAGGGTTAAGTGAATAACTGGACAACTAATAAGCTGGAGGCAAAAGATAACATGCGCGTGCATTATAAGTATAACAGTCCAAATCCAAAGATGATATGCAAGTTTTTAATTGCGATTATAATCAAGAACTCAATCTCGTATGATTAGAAATATATCAGCTATTTCAATTAAATTAGAAAAGACCACCTCATTGATTCTTCTCTCCTTGTGTTCCCTTTCTCATTTTAAATGCTGTACCTATAATGCTAGTGTAACTGTGTTTTAAGCACACGGTAACTCATTAATACTATTCAAAGTTATTTTTCAGCATTATCGATACTAAAGATGAAGACTCAACTGGCGAAATGATTATTGGTCTTAAATAATTACAGAAAATGATCTAGATGTTTAAGATTGAAAACCACCAAGAAAAGCAAGGTTTACTTCAACAGTGATGAATGAAAGAACAGGTTAAACGGAGCTAAATAAAGATTGTGAACTCATCAGTGTATATGTCAAATAATGAATAGATCAATCACGAAACAAATCTCATCAACAGCCGAATCCCAAAAGCACTCAAAGAAAGTATACATATCAGAACAAATAAATGAAAAAATCTACCCACAATAAGGATAAGCAACAAAAACTTCAAGACAATTTCACTGTTGAAAATTATAACTCACTGTTCTTCTCCCCTGTCTCTTTTGGTCAAACAATTATTGTAGATTCCAAAAAGAAACTAGATCTCTTTTTATTGCCAATACATCCAAAAAGAGCATAAAGATCATTCATCATTATAAAACATGATCTCAATTCTCAAACTATTCATTATGCAGAAATAAAGGCAAACCCACGAAGAAAATGCACACAAAATGAACATAAACACAAACATAAAAAGCAAACTCAGATCCTGAAGCAAATTAAACAAGTACCTGAAAACTAAGGCTGAAAGGCTCTTCAATCTCACCAGCCATTCCAACTCTCTCAAATTCAATCAACAAGCATCAACCATTCTCAACTCAAATCACCTGCTCCCACAAGAACCATTATCGAAACACAAAAAGAGACAAACTTTAATCTCAAGAAATGAATGCCCCACAATGCAAGTCATAACAAAACAACATAAAAAGCAGAGTGTTTTGAAGCTTGTAACGTAAATGTAATTAAAGAATCTTAAGCAAACGTGTTAAGAGTTAAAAACCCAAAAAAACAAAAAAACAAAAAAGACCACTTTCTAGAGGCTTAGATCTCACTCACTTCACTTAAAGATCAAATTTTGCTTTCTGGGTTTGGCTCGTTAAATGAAATGCTTTAAGGGTAAGAAGTTTTGGGATCAGTTATTGCTTCATTTCATGTGCGGGTTGATGTCTTTTTGTCTTGTTCAAGTCAGACACTCTTAAGTACTCAACAGTGTTTGTGCTTGTGTAAATTCTGGTTTAATTAAGAGCCGTTTGATGGGAAAATTACGGGGTTTTGAGGGCATTAAACGGCTGAGATTGAAGATCAGAGAAGAGAGGAGTTAGTAGTTGAAACTGAGTAGTTTGTGTTTATGTTTATCTCAGACAGCTTGAGAGTACTGTTGACTTTCCAGCTAACGATGTTTCCGTATCGAAGGGATTGTCTGTGGGGGTTTTTTTTCTGGTGTATCTCTTCTTATTCTTCTAATTTTGTGTCCCCATTTGGAGTAAATTCTTGTATATTTTTTTTATATTACCACCAATATTATAATATCAAACGTTAAACTGATCTCGTAATACTTAATTATAAGAGTGTTGTAAATGTTGAACATTTTATTAAAAGATAGTCCATAGTCGACATCTAATATCAATAAAAGATATTAACTATTCATCTTATCTAATATTTAATCAAAGATTTTAGTGATTTTTTGCAATGATTACAGCGTCATCATCGTCGGTATTAGACACACTAACAGAAAAATGATTTAAAGGGATTACCCTTAGACTTTCTCAATCCAACTCACGGACTGGAGCTGTCCACCCTAATTACACTACAGAGCCACCAGTCCGCCCTTTTCCGATGTAGGTATGAAAATCAAAGACAAAAAAACAAAGTAGGATTTATTTTCTTATAATATAGTGAAAAAAAATTAAATTTTACTAATATTGATACATTTAAAATAAAAGTTTAGTGTTCGATATCACTATCCTTCGTAATATAGTGATATGGATATTAAATTGTACTAATATATACACACATAAGATGAGACTTTAATATTTTAAATCTTTAGTTTAACAATTTTTACATAATTATCACATGAAATTATAAATTTCCTTTTTTATTGTTAACATTGAAGCAACTCATAATTTAAAACCTAAAATTCATTAAATAGATGTACATGAAATTGAAGACACATCCATAATGAAGTACAAACCGATAATGGAGAGTGTAAAAAAAATACAATAATTATGAAATATTTATTTTTTTATTAAAAAAAACTAAAATATAACAATAATTAAAGAGTATATTGTTTATCAAACCCCAAAAGATAAATCATCACCATCGAAAACGTATGGGGGCCCAATATTGGATCTCATTATCAGACAAAAGACGGAGGGTCCCAGTGCGATGGATCTGATCTTTTACAAGTGGGACCCTAGAACTTATGATGGATATTGAGTTATGGATGATTGCAATTGCAATGATTAGAGCCGTTGGATTAGGGTCCATGGATGATCCATCATTTGGGTAAATGGGCTGGTAACTTAAATAAGGACAAGCCCAAGATTTCTGTGCATGTGCATCATGGCCATGCCTGTCTCACACTCTCACCAATCAACGGCTGTGAGTGCTCTAAAGACAAACCAAGATCGGATCTCTCTATTTTTGGATTTTCTAGTGCATTGTCACTGTCCCAGTTAGATACTGGACCCACTTGCCGTAGGACCGATTCAAGATTTAAATAATAAAAAAAAGTCTTAATCCTTATCATCAGGGATTTGCTTTGATTTTAAAATATTTTAATTTGATAATAAATTTAGTAGTACACTAAATACCTCATATTTTAGATTACTTTTATTAAATTCAATTTTTTTATTAAATTACCTCCATAATTCAAACATAATTAAAAAAAAAGACAATAAAAAATGAAATACCTTTTTCATAAACTTTATGACACATTAAAAATACCTTTTAAAAATGATTTTTATATGAATTTAAAAAAAAATTCTTATATTAAATTTTTTAAATTCGTATTTTTTTTTTAATTTTAAATTTGAAGATGAATTAAATAAAAAAATATTCATAAAATTTATAATGGAATGTACATAGAAAATTGGGCAGTTGTAAATAAATAAATAAATATTCTTTCCTTAACAATAAACCCATTTAAATTTTATTAAATCTTAAATATTTATAAAAAGAGGATATGGATAAGACTTAAATTGACTAACTTGTAATATTCTAATTAACAAATACTTAAAAGAGTTAAGATGTCTATTTCAATTACTAAACAAACCTCCTTTCTGTACTTGGGATCAAAATCCTATAAATAAATTAACAATAAATGTATATGTTTTTTATAAGCTGGCCATGCACATACAAAATAATAATAATATATAATAATAAAAGAATACTACAAAATGGGGCCTACCCATGAAGACTAAACCTCCAAGTTTAAGGTAAAAAATTTAATCCAAAACATTGGGTGAGATCAACATCAATATACTACCCATGAAGAAATAAACCTCCAAGTTTAAGGTAAAATTTAATCCAAAACATTGGTGAGAGATCAACATCAATATTATAGAAGTAAATAAATGGGTTCACCAGAAGAATGAGAACAAGTGTGAAAAAGAGATATGTTTGTCCACTTAAAACTTCATTATATTGAGTAGTTTTCCAGTCAAGATCGTCCTGACATAATTATGTCAAGACCATAATCATCGTTAGATCTTTATATGTAAAATATTATCAATCAAATGAGTGAATCTATTGTATTCTAATGGGATCCTGATATATCAGAAGGATGGTCTGATTAGAGAATTTTCGTATACATAAATCATATAGTCATTCTCTAGTCAAAACATCTTAATATAATTCATCACTATATGTTTATCACTGTTGGATTCATCTATCGGATTATATAATATTTATAAGTTAGATTCAATGATGTTATGCATAGTTATGACAAATTAATATTAGGACATCTTCACTAGAGTTTATTATTATTATTATATTATTATTATATTATTTATTATTTTATATATTATATATATATATATATATATAATATATATAATATTATATATATATATATTATATATATATTATATTCAATCAATTGAGTAGAAACATTATAACTTATTTTAGATGAAAATCCACAAACTTGCTCCCCATTATCGAAGAGGCTGACTTCAATAAATAAAGAATTGCATTGTTCTCTAGTTACAACAACTACTAAAATTAAGCAAACTTCTTGTTGAAGATTATCATTCAATATGCAAATTGGTTATTAATATTATAATTCATAATGGTTGTGATTGTGGTCCTTTTTCTTTGGCGTTGTATCTTAATTAGACATAATAATGAAATGGTTAGCTAATAAATTGCACTATCATAGAAAAGGTAATTTTTCTCTTCCTTAGGCTTTGTACTTTGCATTTTGGTATTATTTTGGGTTGCTAGGGACCAAAAGAACCCAAAAGATAGTGTTTTTTTTCTCTCTACCATCTAGCTTCTATGGCCTATTTTGCCACTCACATACGATCATACTTTTTTTTTTTGGTAACCAAGGTGGTTCGGGGCAACCTTACGAGCATCTCAACTAATACTTGGGAGAGACTATGCAGCAACCCACTGCGAGACCTTTCACTTAAATCGCGAATGCTCAAATGAGGAATCAAACATGAGTAAGGTGTAAAGGAGTTGAGTTTCACCCTAAACAAGTCAGACTTGACTCCCTCGTAGTCGAGTCACAAGTCAACGAGTAAGAGAAACGAGCTTGGGACTCGACTTGGTAGTAGTTGAGTTAGCTCGAAACTCGACTCGAGTTCAAGCCGGCTCCATCAACACTTATATAAAAACCAAAAACAAATAGAACCACACAGCCTGGCATTACATCAAACACTACATGCACCATCAAAGTAGCTGTATTTCCAAAGGTTCAAATTTCATTATACACCATGCACACCAATCTTATGGCAAAAATCCAAAGCTACAACAAAACAATCTTATGATTAAGTATAAAATCATTAGAGTTTTTAAGAGATTGCAAAAAAAAAGCTCGTTTTGAGAGGAATAATGAAGATGAAAGATGATAGGAGAAGATCGGAGATATCGTAATGTGTGGGGCAACAAACCATTAGGCGACATGACATATGTCTTCATGGCTAGACTAACCTGTTGCGGTTGAAAAATGTAACAGTGACAACTGTTGAGAAACGAGACGAAGCGATGGCCGGACGGACAAGGCGATAGTTATAGGCGATTGACAAGGCGAGACGAAATGGTGGCCGACAGAGAATCGAGCTAAGAATCGACGGATAGTGCCGAGTTCTTGCATTAGAACAGGGTGTTTAGTTCAATTGAAAATAGGGTTTATGCAATTTGGGAATAGATTTTACGTTGGGTTAATTGGATTTGGGGGTAATTTATGATTTTTTTACCTTTTGCATGTTTATTTACAAAACATACATATTACTTGTATTTATCGCATAAAAACCAAAACGAGCCAATAAATACTCGCGAGCTGAGCCGGGGTACACTCAAACTCGACTCGACCATTAGTGAGAGTAGAACACAAGCCCGAGTAAATAACAAACCGACTCGTAAGTAGCTCGGCTCAGCTGATAGTCCTAAACATGAGATCATGCACCTATTCGTACTATCCCCAATTCGCCATCTGGGCTATCCACGGATGGGTAGGGATGGCAATAGGGCTGATCCCAATCCCTGCCCCTGCCCTAACCCCCGACCCCTAAAGGTATGATGAAGAATCCTCGTCCTTGCCGCACCCCACCCTATAGGATTTTTTGCTTCCCCGCCCCGCCCCATCCTATGGGTGAAGATGTAGAAGAACTGAGAAATGGACAAGCTAAAGAGTGAACATGATAGAGATAAAGAGGTTTTGTTGCGGCAAAGATAAGATGAAGGGTAAAGACGAGTGAGACGAAAAGGCAAACGGTGATTCGCATGGTCATGGAGGAGGTTTAGGGTTGGTTTGGCCAAAAAACTGGGTTATATATAACAAGGACAAATTTGTGATTATCTTAATATTTAAAGATATTATTATAAAATGTTGTTGATCAGGGAGTGGGAAGGAGTCAAGGTTAAGGGACAACTATCATTGTCCACGCCCTATCCCCAGGAACACGAACGAAATTCGTCCTCGCCTATTATGAGAAATCCCTACCTTGTACGAGGCGAGGTGCGGTAGGGTAGGTCCTTGCAAAAACAGGGCAAGTTGCCATCCCTAACTTAGTTTGTATTGATATTTTTGAAATAAAGAGTTATTTACTCCATTTTATCATGATTTTAGAAACTGATAAATCATAACTCAATATC